AGTCTCAACGTTGACTACCAGTTCTGTGCAGGTGCACAGGACTGGATGCGTAAACACAGATTCACTCTACTCCCCCACTGAATGAATGAATGATTTTTTGTTCAATATAGATTATTGCATTATACTTATTGAAAGTCATTTTTTCTATACGGAACTCTGTCTTGGGATGAACCAGCAAGAAACCAACCGGAACGTTTTTTATAAAAACATTTTATTTCACTTTACATTAATTTATTTTGTACAATTTTTGAATGAATTTTTATAAAACCAGCACTGTGGCGATCACCTCATTCCCAGGCGTTATTTTCATTTATATATTCTTTTGTATTTTAATAACCCTTTTTGTACAATTTTTCTTCAATAAAACATTTAATCTTCTTTAATGGCAAATTTTGTACGTTTTCTGGGATTTTGTTGTAAAAACGTATATATTGCCCCATAAATGAATTACTAATTCTGTGGAGTTTAGTATCTGACATTACAAGCTTATGTTTCTTCCTAGTGTTTAAAGTATGAATATCTTTATCTTTATTTACCTCTTTTATAAAAGTAAATGTAAATTCTGATACAGTGCACGCACTACTCGACTCCTAGGAAGAAAAAAAGAACAATGTATAGTTGTAAACAATACATAGATTTTTTGAAATATTTTTTGTACACCTTAAAATATGTAATAAGCTTAAAACTGTATATACATATTTTTAAGCGGTCGAGCCATGCTGCAGATATGTTATGGCTGCAGCATGAATAGGTTAGCTACACTAGAGTGTAGAGTGAGGAGGACCACTATTTTACAGAATACCAGCGTGAAACAGCAGAATATCGTTGATTAAAGATGTTAAGAGTTACTTCGCAACCGTCCGCTCAATAAAATAAAATGATGTGTCTTAGCTATAGTACGTTTCTAGGGCAGGCGGAATAAAGTACATTGACCTCAAGTATTATGTTAGCATCGAAACAAAACGACAGTTATTGCTTCCATACATTTCTTTACAGATTACGTGTCGTTATGCGCTAAGCGTGTCTCATGGTACGGGGTAGGGTGAGGGAAGCCTTCATTCAGAGATAATAAACCTGTTTCGACGCGATTTGCGATAGGTCTCACGCCGTGCGTATTTGAGAAAGCGGATGGAGCAGAACTCATTTCCAAAGAGTATAATAAGTATCATTCCTCATTTTGCTTTGGGATGCGCTTGCGTGTAGATAGTTTGAGATTTAAAATTTTCGGTTTTAGTAGTTGTTTTAATTTTTATTAAGTTTATTTTGTTAGTTGTATTATTACGTTTTGTATGAAATCGGGTCCATCGACATGAAAATCTCATAAAGACTTTACGTCACCACGAAAGAAGCGGAAAGTGTCGCATATTTCGGAAACCGAAAAAATAATGATTGTAAACATCTATAAATATGTAAAAGAAATATGGTCTAGTGACCTATATCCATCCAAAACGGATAGAAATAAGAAGACTGCCGATATTTTAGGTTATAATCAATGTGACGGACTCTTCTACGTCTTCATCATCATAAATGATTCCGAAATAGATACAGATGAATAGTCTGTCAAGTGTCTCTGACAATCTATTATGAGAAGTTTTATGCATGCTTCAAGGTTGGCTGCTTAAGAATGCTTAGCATTAAAAGTTCGTCTTTTTACCTGACTGCCAAAAAGTAGTTATGTTTTATATAACTACCTACCTACCTACTTATTAAAATACTTACCTACTATTAACGTAATAATGAAAATTGTAATAACTCATGGTTTATAAATAATAAACTTAAATCAATATTAATTTGCCTTTTTATTCGTTTAGGTACAGGATAATCTTCTTTCTTTATTATATAATAATAGACATAGGACCTGTAAAGAACTTCGCACTCGGCACCCTTATCTTTCACTCTGATGATGTATGTAATGATAAAAGGATAAAAAAATGAACCTAAACAAAAAGGATTGCCTACCCCAATGATATCGTCAAAGGTCAATGTACCTTTTTCCGCCTGCCCTAGAAACGTACTATAGTTTGTAGAGCACCTCCCGCCCTCCCTCAATTGATGGCACTAATCCCGTCACCACCACTACTCTAGGATTCTTTAATATAATGGATTTCCGCATAGTAACGCCTGATTCTATGAATTAGAATAGCATTGTGTTTCGTATGGTGAGTGCAGAGAATCAGAGATCCTTTTTACTTGGTTCTTAGGGGTGACAAGGCATCTGTATTTTACTTTATAGAGGATATAGATGTCTATGGTCTGCAGCATCTATTTGCTATCAGGTAGACTGTGTGTTTGCTTCTCTTTTTTATATGGAAGGAGCAAACGAGCACGCAACTCACCTGATGATAAATGACTATCGCCGCCCGTGAACAACTGCAACACCAGGGGAATTGCAGATGCGTTGCTGGCCTATTAAAAAGGAGTAGGCTTTTTTCTTGAAGGTCCCTAAGGTCGTATCGGTCCTGAAAAATCTCTGGTGGTAGTAGATTCCTCAAGGAAGTTGTGCGAGGAAGAAAACTTCGTAATCGCACAGTGGTGGACTACCAATGAGGATCAGTAAAGTTATAGAAAATTCAATAAAACTAGTATCCACGTTATTCTTTATAACATAAGAATTATATATCTTTTTGAATTAGCCAAATCGGACCATTACTTACGAAGATATTAAGTAATAAACATAGGCCGTTCCTGTCGCTAAAAGTCAATGCACGGAGGTCCGCGTGACGTCACTGTGACGGAACCGAACGCATCATAGTAGTTCATACATGTATTCTGTGGTAGTTCACGATTCGACGGAGCGCGGAGACGCGGTTGGGCACTATATTTGGCAATTTATTTAAATAAAGTGTTGTTACAGTGTAATTTTGTGATTGTTTAAGTATTAAAGATACATAATATGAGTGCTAATAAAGTAGAAGCTGGTTTTGTGCAAGCTCAATCAGATAACCTTCCAAAAGTGGATTCTTTCATGGTATTTGATTATCTAAGTAATCATTCTAAGTTCACCAGCGCTGAAGTCCGTGGTTGGAAACTACAAAGGTAAGGGTGCTGCTTATTTATCTACGTTCGTAGGTACTTATTAGTAATCTTTAGGAATAAGCTGTATAGGTAAATAAATGAAAGAATGAATGTTGTAAAGTATAGTTACGGGCAAAGATGTATAAACATCTTAGGTTACAGGGACGTATTCATAACTTATGAATAGTGTTTATAGTATCTTGATAAAAGGAATGTTGTTTTCGTTCATTCATATGTAGATCATTTTGCAGATGATTTTTAACTTACTTGCACTTTATTTATTGCATGGTTCCCTACACTTGCTGATCTATGACAGAAACCTTAATATTGATTGTAAATGGCAGATTTTTTTTCCATCTTGCTCATTGTTACAAATCATTCGTCAGTATGTATTTAAGTAGGATGACTTGTTTTGTATAAAAAATATATAATACTAGCGAACGCCCGTGACTTCGCCCGCATAGACTACTATTTATTTATCGTAGAGGAACCGTGTATTTTTCCGAGATAAAGCACTTTTTATACCAGAAAAAATGCACGGTTCCTGTAAAATTTCATCCATATCTGTTCAGCAGTTTTTGCTTGAAAGAGGAACAAAGATACATTCATCCTCACAAACTTTCACATTTATAATATTAGTCGGAAGTAAAATATAGTAGTAGGATAGAATTTTGTTATTTGTATATATTTTTTAATTCGTTTTATTTATTTATTACAGATCGGCACGTGAAACCTATGGAGATGATGCTGTAGGATTTGTTCAAGTCCAGAGGTCGGGACGTGTTTGTACGGTAAAAGCAAAAATAACGCCTGAACATAGAATAAAAAGTAAAGCGTATAGCTGTACATTTACATGTGATGAAAAAGAGGAAACGGTTTTGAACGTGGACTGTCATGACTGTGCTGCTCAAAAGGGAGGTTGCAAACATAGCGTAGCGTTTTTGATGTGGCTTCATAGACGCAGCGAGGAGCCATCTCCTACTGAAAAAAAATGTTACTGGGCCAAACCAAAGCTGGCTACCATAGGTACTAAATTTATAAAAGCTAAAGATATGGGTCCCAGTTCAGTTACTACTGAAGATAAAAATACTGATAACACCAATTCAGATCAGTTTTTCCTAGCAGTTGTGCAAAGCCTAAAGGAACATTCTATTAAAAATCAGTTATCAGTATACGTAACAAAGAATGAGTATAAAAAATTGTCTTTGCATAACCTCATTCATCAATACAAAAATGAAGGCAATAATATAAATAGTGCAGATGATTTTATTGATTATTGCTCTACTAAAATCACCATAGAAAAATGTCACAAAGCAGAGGAAGCAACAGTTTGTCAAGCTAGTTCACCGTTATGGCATGAGTTAAGGTATTGTAGAATAACCGCGTCTAAAGTTCACGAAGCTGCACATTGCAAGACTCCTGATGGTGCTTTGATTGAACAAATATTTGGTGCCTCTGTACCCGAGACTCTGTCTATGAAAAGAGGCAAACGATTGGAATCCAATGTCAGAGCAGAAGTAGCCAAAACAAGGAAAATAGTTATTGAAAATTGTGGTTTTTTTTTAAAACCTGATTGGCCTCATTTAGGTGCTTCTCCAGATGGATTGACAAGTGAATACGTAGTAGAAATAAAATGTCCCTCGACAAAGAAAGGAAAGGAAAGTTTTGTAAAGAATAGTGTTATCGGCAGCAAATGGAAAGCTCAAATTCAGCTACAAATGTTTTTATGCAATAAAGTCAAGGGATTGTTTTGTGTAGCTAATGAAAATTTTGAAAGCAATAAAAAAGTAGAAATATTTGAAGAATATTATGATGAAAACTATTGTACTGATCTTTTAGAGAAGTCCACGCATTTTTGGAAAACATCAGTGTTTCCAAAACTAGTTGAGACTTAAAATTATTCTTTTATTAATAATATGACATGTGCTTTTGATGTTGCGAGGTTGTCGAAATAAAACTATAAAAGAAACGAAAGCATTTTTTTTTTACACTTGACTACTAAATAGACAATTCTGTAAATTAACTAAACCACAGGCTATTGTTACAATATTATCTAAAAAATGTACGTATGAAATATCGACACATGCGTGAGGTCCGATCATTTTAAAGTCTCTCAACTTCCCTATGCTTCTTTCAACGTGAACCCTTATAGCAGCGATTCTCTTTGTTTGCAAGACTTCCTCTGCTGTAAGTTTTGAGTTGGAACTCACACTAGGCGGCCTCAGGAGTGTACAACCACGTTGTTCCAGTAAATGGGAAATATTTTTGAAACCCCTATCAGCTAACACAATACTTCCTTGTGCCAATTTGTCAAGAAATCCGCTGTCTTCAAATATTGTTGAGTCTGGAGTCCTCCCTCCATATCCCTCAGAGATAAAGTTTATCAAACCGTCAGGTGTAATTGAAATCAAGTACTTAATGGTATTGCAGCTTTTATATTGAGACCATGTAGCCGCTTGGTGCGAAGCGTTACTAGGTTTCTCGATTTGAATTTCAAAACAATCGATTATTGAAATCGCTTTAGAATAGCGCTTCCTAAAAGCTATCGGCAAGTTTTCTCTGACATCATCTGCTGATGGCCAGATAATAAGTCGATTCAGGCACAGTGCAATTTTTGGGAGAGTTTTATTAAAATATTTAGTCACAGAACTCTCAGAGAGGCCAAAATGTATTGCAAGCATTGAATTTGGGTCATGCCATCGGATTTTTCGTAAAGTCACTAGGATTTCAATAGATGATATTTCCGTGAAGTTTTCTAAATGTTTAATACAAAAATATGAATGGGCAGGAATGCCTATCAGTAATTTTGGATCTCGAGATATAGACATTAGAGCGCCCTTTTGCATATGCTCATGGAAGAAATTTTTGTGCATTGTTTTTGTTATTTCTAAATCATTCGACTCGTTATCACTAGCACTAACACCAAAAGAACGAGTATTTTCACTTGAGTTTGAGTTGCTGATCTTGAAGCTAACGTTTGGATCAAGATTTTTAGGGATTACTTTTTTTTTAACTATTGGTTGTTTCCATTTCATTGGCGTATTATTCGATTTAGTTTTCATTTTTGGTTTCATATTAACCTGCACTGCTTGTGTTTTTTGACCCCTTACATTGTTTTTTGATAATACGTCTATTTCTTCAGGTATGTAAAGGGGATCACTGTTTTGGATGTTATTTGAGTCTTGATTCTCACACTCTACTACTTCAATGGAATGCAACAACAGGTCTTCGTGTCCAATATCTTTACTTAAAACTCTTTCAAAATATTCTATGTCTTGTCGTTTTTTAAAACCGGGTCTGTCAATTTTCTTTTTTTGAGGCTTTTGGCATTCAAACTTATGAGGCAAAACTCCCTTCTTCAGTTTAAGCTTTCCTCCAACTAACTTAAACTTTACGTAATTTTCCATATCTTCTTCTAACTGAAATATAAAAATGTATATAAGTATTAATTTATTTGCCTCTATCAATAAGGCATAGCTGAGGCAGATACATAAATTCACCGCTGTTATGTAAATGGTTAAAGAATATTATCATTCACTCTTTGCTTTTTACCCGAGTACGTCTCTAGGTCATTGTTTTGACCTTTTAATACGAAATACGATGCTTTTACACATAAGCAGCTGACCCGATTTTAATGACTTTTAGTATAGAGATAACTGAGATCTTAAAATGGATATAGGCTACTTTTTATCGCAAAAATAAAACTTTAAGGGGATGAAATAGAGGTGTGATAAAAACTTTCTGTGACAAACTGAATTCAACGCGGGCGAAACCGCAGGCAAAAGCTAGTAATACATAGAAATGGGAACGGGCGAATATATAGGTTTACGTTATTAGATACGTTAGTACGTAGGTTTATCAACAAAACTTAGAAAAAGTAAATAGGTATGTTTTTATTAATACAGCAGGCTTAAAATAAGAGAATACACAGGTACACTACACGTAACATAAGGTACCAACGTATTTCCATATCAACTAAATAATAGGTATAATAGATATGTAGGTACGTACATCGAAGTGATCTTCACAGCAATGTCTTGTAGCCTGGGCAGAGGGTGTAGTTTTATCATCTCTTTTTGCAATGGAATACCATTTTTTACGAAGTTTTGGGTCTTTCGGTACGTTAAAAAATAGTTTTTCTGGTGTTTTAATAGAAGTGTTTGTACATTTCGGCACTATACAATATTTATACATAGTTAAAAAGGTGAATTAGACACAAATCGGACACTTAACTTGTTTCAAAGTTACAATTAACCAAACAAAACACTGCGCGCCTTATCGCTGCCAACGGCTAACTGGCGAAGACCGTCATAGTGACGTCACAGGTACCGCGCCGGGCCGTCAGTGAACTTCGCTAGTAATTTGGCCATAACTTCGTCATACTTTGTCGTAGAACAAAAATTTTTGCACTGTATGTTAAGGATTTCTTAGATCTATAAATCTGCATTCTCAACTAAAAACGTTACGGATCCTCATTATCCAGATGATATGGGTGGTATCGCGAGTTTTGTCGCGATGTGCGATGGTGAAATTGAGCGGCTTGAATTAGTCCGAACAATTTCTCGGGGCATTGCCCGTGGTAGATGCGATAAAATGCGCAAAGAGATGCAACATCTCTTCGCTGTGCCAGTGAGTCAAGCCGATCAGAAAGAGCTTGGTCGCCGATGAGTTGTTGGAGTTGTCACCCTTATTTTATAAAAATGTCATAAAATTATTGTAACGCATATTATATGTTATTTATTTGCAGAAACTTTTATGGGCGGTATCTGAGGCACTCCGAGTCCACGGCTGGCGCATGTCATCGCCGGGCTTCCGGGAGAAGGCGTCCGCCCTGGCGCGACTGACCCGGCGTCTGCTGACCTTGCCCCCTCACGCGGCAAAACTTGCGGCACCTAAGTTGTCTACTTCGGAAACCATGCTCAAGTAAGTAGCTTTGATGGAGACAACTGTTTTGATGACTTCTTTGGAAATAATGTTCCTTTATTCTTCTACGATGTACTAATTTTGTAGCATTATTGGCATTGTCACAATATTTTATTGATTCACTTTTAAATTTCACTGTCGATGAAATATTTGAAAATAATATTGTAATGTCATATCTTGATGCCTATCGATCGATCCAGAGTCGGGAATGAGCCTTGAGGAATAGTGGCATTCTGTTGCTCAAATATGATAAGAATATCTTAAGCAAATTATCTTTTTGCCGTTATGTTGTAGTTTTGAGATTAACTTCTCATGGTGAACATAGTTGAAGGCCTTCTAAAACTAACAAAAATACTCAGAAGTATCTTGTGAATAATATAATATCGACTCAACTCTAAAAACAGAACTGTTTTTTTTAAACAATTTGTCACATTTACTTTTACAGACTTGCACGTCAATACGTGTATGCGATTATCCAGGGTCGAACCGTTGAAGAATGTTTTCAAGATGAACAAATCAAATTGGCAAATGAAACCAATAAGATATCCGGCTACATTTCTGCCACTGCATATCAACAAATGAAGACCAGACAGGTGCCTGCACCAGCTACATTGACGTCGCAAATTAAGGAGAATACCGGTTCAAATTTATCCATAAAACAGGATCAATCAAAAAGCGCCACCAAAAACGTCCTACAGGATAAACTTGTTAATATAGACAACAACTCAAATAGCAGCAGTGGAATCAGCATGTTCGATAAAGTCGGATTATACAAGTCAAACTCGATGCCGTCATTCGAAGATGCTGCTAAAATGAGAGCAAGAAGACAAATTAGTTTTGATTGTGTAGACTTTCCAAAGAGGTGATGCAATTTGCACTGTGATACTAACTGCAAGTTTTGTAACATTTATTGAGTGTTTTCTAGCCTATATCAGAGTGTTTAAGTTAAGTATCAATGTTAGTATAATATATTGACTTAGTAACTTTTATTTTAGCCTCAATTATTTATTTGAATTGAAATTGTTATTTTGAAAATTTCACTGTGTGGTGTCCTTATGATAAGAAAATGACCATATGAAAAAAATTTAAATATCTCTGGTAAGCATTTTATGACCTTAACATCTCAAGCATTCATTAAAATATGACCGCCAATTTTCATAAACATTGAATGTAAGTTTTAAAAAAATCGGGCATTCAATTGTAAATATGTGACTGCTCTGGTAATAAAAGTTATTATTAAGATATCTCATTAAGCATGATTTTTTTAAAAAACTGTAAAGGAATCTCTCATGAATTGTTGAAAAATGAGGATGTCCTTAATTAAATTTTTTTATTTTAATGTGTGACAAAACATTGCACATTGGCAAATTAATACTTACTTATTTTATTTTTCAAAACTTTCACAGTGGTCTCGTACAATGTTTGATTTAATTTTTTTTAAATAATTGCAGCCTTATTCCACACTGCAAACAATTTTCGCCTTATAAAATTTGTACTTTTATTGTAATTTTGATGTGGGTTCATAATAAGTGCTTCCTTTCTGTTATATCATTTCTTAGTTTATTTTGTTATTATGCACTGACTTCTAAATTGTCATATCAATTTTGCACTGTTAATGACATAGTTCAAGTAAGTAACATCATAGGATAGGCTTCAATGTCGGATTCTATGTACTCGTTCATATATAATATTGCGAACTGAAATATAATTTAAGTGTGGATTTAGTAAATTTTTATGATATAACTTCTTACTACTACTGAGTGTGATCTCGGGTTTTATATAATAAGCAATAAATTATTTTTTCTTTGAAAATGATTCCGTGTTTTATTGTGTTTGTAGTTTAAGGAAGATTATCATATACCAGCGATCCCGCCCGGCTTCGCACGGCTGATTTCTGGATCTTGACACGGCGCCTCCTACCGGATCCAAATGTGAATGTACACATCTAGGACCCATACATTTAAACCATCTAGGACCCATTCAAACACATTTTTTTATCGAAATCGGTCAAGCTGTTTTTAAGTTTTAGCGAGACTATCGGAGAGCAATTGATTTTATATATTATTGTTAAGAGCTTAGACTTCGTGACAATAAAAACTGCCGATTGAATTACCAAAATTGACACTTTAATTACGGAACTCCAATCAAAACTAATACACACTAATAATTAATAACACTGATCACTTTATTTCACTCCGAAAACTTCGCTAGTATCGCCAATTCAATACTGCCCTGGTCGAGGCCCTCACGACTTTATATAGGCTTTTCCCACCGAAACATCCGTGGCGGCGCTGTCATCGCGCCGCAAGCGAAACACACCGAAGCCCAAATCACGCTATCAACATTCCGAATCATAAACAGTATATATAGAACTTCTCCGAACTATCACATGGAGTGCTGGCCGCTCCCCGGGCAGAACACCTTGCCCGGCGGGAGATCTCCCCTTTTCCTTCCACGGCCACAGTGGTGACCCCGACGTGATTTGAACACGCAACCAAATAACCTTCGGAAACTTCAAGCTTCATCATCGTCATAGAATACCCCACCCATTCGCTCCCGAGCAGATATCGTCTGCAGTCTTCATATCCTGCAAGCAATCTAGCTTCACAAGGTTCATCGCAGCACTGGAATAATAATGCTTCCTGTTCCTTCAAGCTACTCTCTGCGCTACAGTGTTTGGCACGGCTCTGAGCCTTACGACTCGCCTCTGCTTCACGGCACTCTCGCAGATTACTTGCCTTCTTCGACTCACCGCAGACTACAAGGTAATCTCCTGGCACTTGCTCGTTCGTCGGCAACGAGGCTGCACTATCGACCTCCGGTCTGAGCAGGGGGGTGATGTGGCGGCGCTGTCATCGCACCGCAAGCGAAACACACCGAAGCCCAAATCACGCTATCAACATTGCGAATCATAAATAGTATATATAGAACTTCTCCGAATTATCACATGGAGTGCTGGCCGCTCCCCGGGCAGAACACCTTGCCCGGCGGGAGATCTCCCCTTTTCCTTCCACGGCCACACATCCAAAATGTTTCAGCAAATACCGGCCCCCGACCGACCAGGTGCAGAAAGTTCGAGTGCGTAGCTTGCTAGAAAGCTTCGTTCTTGGTG